ATACAAACTGAATTTCTCACACCACATACACATTCAAATGTTGGCGTTGCCACGCCCCACATGGAAAACTTTGGGTGCTTTGAGCGACCTCTAAATAATTTCAAAATAAAAAATAGGGTTATTCTTTTTTTCGATATAGAACAATCCTTGAGGGTGAGAGCATTAAAATTCCGACCTTACTTATTTTGGACCACCCTAATGTACATACACCCACTATAATTGTTCTTAAGTGTTCAGTCAAACATATTTGAAACACAAAATTCAAATAAAATACGCTTACTTCGATGTTTTTGTTAAGTTTCTTTGCGTATTTCTTTCCTGGGTTCAAATTACGTTGTTCAAGTTGTAAATTTTGAGCAAAGATTTTGAACGTTGAACTCACTTAATATAAAATAACTTCAAAACTGAGGGAGTTATTTATAAAATAGTTAAAATGTAATCAAACTTTCAAATACCGCTATCTCCAAAAGAGGAGACAATCGGGAAAAACTGGGGACGGCATTGAATTTAGAAGGCTTCAATTAAGTAAGATCAACTATCAGAACCTTTGTCGAAAAAAATTTGATTTGATACCACGCTCGAAATATTCTGACTACAAGAAGCAGAATTTAAAGTACTAAATCGGGGTTTTTACACACTTCTAGAGAACATTTCTTTGAAGCATTTTACAGGTATATGCAACGTTATAAGGACTAGTAGTTATAAAAATATTTAGATCGTTTCGACGTATTTTTCAAATGTGCCTTCAATTAAGATATTTTTGGAATAAAAATTACGCTCAAGATCGCAGAATATTTTATCTTTAAAAGTAGGTTTATTCTGAAAGCACACCTCTTGCTAAGGTATCAAATTATTCGTAATTGTTTGTAGAATACAACACATACTTAAGAAGTTCTTTAAATTAAATGCTTCAAAAACTATACGCGATAAACCGAAAATTTTATAAAATTGTGAAATGTTGAGTTACAGACTTTGAGTTACTTGCCATTTCGTTATTTTTTAATGCACACTTTTCTTACCTACTACATATGAAGTATGCACATAAGTGCTAAATGTCCATTAAATTTTAAATCAGAATATGTTGTGCTTCAAAAGTTATGACATAATTAACTTTGCCCCTCTTAAAAATTACATAAAAAAATCACTTGTTTTCATTATTTTTTTAAATTTAAACACCTATAATTCAAAAGTTATGCAGCAAATTGATCCAAATTTTTTTTGAGGCTTCAAGTAAACGTCAATGAATTACACCAAAAGCAACCAGCTTGATATAGCTTGCAACAGTGAAAACAAAGCTAAAAAACACCAAGGTTACCTGTTTTTTAGATTTGCCCATATACTTAACGAAGTACATGGTGACATATGATTTTTTTCTGCAAATACGTAAATGTACATTCATATGCATATACTCAGCGAAGCCTCGGGCATCCGTGGCCGGCTAGTTAAGAATAAAGGTAAAACAAAAGTAATATCGCTGAAGCTTAAAAACTGGAAAACACAAAAAAGACGAAAAGACTAGGGGAAGGGCATTACATGCCGTAAGACGCTTATTAATCCGAAATTCGAAGACGTCATCGCTAAATGAAAGGTACAATTTGGAATCAATACATCATACTACTTAACTCTCCGAAATGAAGCAATGGACGTAAGAGCAAGTACAATTGAACTGCATCACGAACTAAGAAAAATTTTAAATAAAATGAATACTAAGTATCACATAGAAGGCGGAATCGAAACATTGTACCCACCTAGCGATAATGAGAAACTAATTTTTGAAGTTTATGCTAGTGTTTTGCCATGCCATTTAAAATCTTTATCGATTCAAAATAATATTACTAACATTGAAAAGGCGAATTTGTTTTGTATTAAGAAAAATATGTTAGATGGCATTGATATTCGATGTAGTAATAGAAATAATGTTGTTTCAAAATCCAATGCTGTTAGAAAAGGTCAATATTCGGGAGAAAGTAGAAAACATCACTTCGGCAATTCAACTATAAATAATAGAGAGATCAACGTAAATAACACTGACAATCTGGCTGGCGCTATCCGATATCCGACACAAAACGCTCAAAATTTTAATTCAGGTACTTTTCGTTATAATAGTGCTAGAAACTCCGGACGTTCCAAACAAAGAGTCCATAGTCAGAGAAATTCAGCTAATTTTAGGAACAAAACAGGTTTTCTTACGAAAGTGCACAACCAAGGGCGGCCGCCGATAATACAATAAATATACAAAAAGGAGCGTAACCAATGGAATTCGATACTGTCCAAAAATATGAAAATTTTCGGCTCCCCCTATACAACCAACGTTCCCATAACTAATAATCGTCAAGTCCAATGCTTACTTGATACCGGTTCAGCCACTACATTGGGTGACTAAAAGACATTTATTTTTTTGCACCAATCGTTAACAAAACCCATACAAATTAAAAGATTATTTGGTTCTCAGATCATTTCAGAAGAAGTAATCGTAGATGTACCAGTAGAGTTTAGGTTGCCGAGTGCAACCATGTCTATAAAATTATTTAATTTAAAGGGAACACCTCTTCGATGTATATTAGGGATAAACTTGTTGAAACCTATAGGCGCTAAAATCGATTTAACGCAAAACGTGGTTTTAATAAATTCTAACGCTATGCCATTTTTAAATACTGATAACGCAGACATACCCTGTACAGAATTTATGAACTCTTGTGCTGATAGCGTCGAATTAAATCCGGTTAGAAAGGGCAATCTAAGTTTCGACTCAATGCTATCGACCAACCTAAATATTGAAGAAAAACTGAGAATTACGGATCTTTTAAAAAAATACCGAAACATATTCTATCAAGAAGGGCAAGTTTTGTCTGCGTCGAATAAAGTGAAACATAAGATTATAACTGTTCTGCACATTCCTATTTATTGCAAAAATTATAGGTACCCATACGCGCAAGAAGATGAAATAAACGAACAATTAAATGAAATGTTAGAAACCGGGATTATTCGTCCGAGCAATTCACCCTATAATTCACCACTGTGGAAAAGGGAGATAGCGGCGAAAAAAGAAATACCGGATCGTGATAGACTACCGCAGACTAAATAGTGTAACAATTGACGACAA